CACTGTGAAAATACTGAATAAGTAGTAACTTTCTGACTCCTAACACATGCACAAAGACCTCTGATTCTAAAATTACTAATTTCTCAAACTGAGTTAATGTTCCTTAGCTAATGAGAGAAACCCAGATTACCATGAGTAATCTCAAAAAGAAAAAGGTGGGGGGGTCATACGCAACAAAAATATACAAAAACTGAAGGATTTTTATTACTTAAATAAAACCTAGAATTAAAAAAATTACATATATTCAATATCTCTGCATTATAATAAAGTGTCTAGATATAATTCACAGTGTTAAAATTATTTCTACTCCCTGGAAACCAAGAGAGTTCTTGTTAAAGTGTAAAATGAGATTTCGCCTACTTGCAACTCCTTGTTCTCACAGCTGAACTGTCACAGCATGGAAACATTCCCCTACTGGTGAAGCTTTAGACACCTATTTCCCTGGTGAAAGAGTGAAAAAGGAACTGAAAGAGTTATTGACAATTCATACAGTATCCCATACCCCATTAGAGTACAACTACAAGCAAAGAGAATATTTTAACTCTGAAGGGAGACAAGGCAACAATGTTTTAAATGATTGTTGACTTCACTGAGTAGCTTGAAAATGTCAAAAGACTGAAGTCTATCAGGTTCATAAGAAACTCAAGATTATACAAGAATCTAATTATAAGAAGTCCATTTCTGTGTCCTGTTTGCTAAGTCAAAGGTTAACGAGAACTACATTGAAGAAAAGATCACCTTGTTATTACAAAATATTTCTCATGCAGCATCAAAATGTAATGAAAAGTATTTCAATCTAGTTCCTCATTAACTTAAAAAAACAGCTTTATTGCATTATAATTCATATACCATAAAATTCATTCAAGTGTACAATTTAAAGATTTTTAGTAAATTTATAGTTATGCAACCATCACCACATCTAATTTTAGAACATTTCCATCACCCAAATCCATTAACTTCCTGATCAAAGATATTTCCATAAATTCATGGATGCCACTGGTATCTAAAGCTACTGTATATTCAAAGCACAAACTTCTGCAGCTGAGAAGGAGATGTGTAAACTAACTCCTTTTAATGACCTTTATAACCAATCCTCTACTCTGGCACTAGGAAGAAAATGTTCAGGTGCTTTCTCTGGAAGTTAAACCATTCTAAGGACTAAGTTATGGCACACTGTCTTGGAAAGAAATTAATTATATTTTTGTTGGTAACACATTTCAGGCTGTTTACACAGCTGATATTTCTCAGCTGTACTCAATTCATGCCCTAAGCTGTGAAGACGATCTTGTTTTGTAGCAGATGCCTCCACTTGAGTGATTTCAATAAGTATAAAAACACTCCTGTCTGCAACAGTGTAGATTACAGGCACCAGCGTTATGAGTTTTATATAGTCCTAAATGAAGAAAAGATTTTATGACACTTATTGGATAGGATCTCCTTAGAAGACTATAGTTATAAGCCATTTTTGCCAGAAATCAAGCAGTGGAGCTAGCGGATCTTGTAGGGCACCAGTTTAAAGCAGCCTGGACCTAAACATCTTTGTTGTATCAAATCATGCAGCTCAAGGCAACATCCTGCAAATGTGGCAACATTTGCTCTGGGGAGGTGTGGGCAGGCACCACTTCACAGGTTCTGGGACAAGGTGCAAATATGAATAATGAGGCAAAAAGAATCAAGCCTCTTAACGGGGATTCCCTCTTGTGTTTGCTGTTTCTTAGATAGGGTACCAGGTAGCAGTACAGTCTTCGTACTGTAAGTTCTCCCTGTATTCCTTATTTTACTATAGTAATGAGATTGCATTACAACTATTTGGAAAAAATTAACTAAATGTTATTAAAAAATCATTAAAACATGAACTTCATAAAAGACTGCATCAACTCAATTCAATGATTTGGCATAGTGAAAGGCTCTATGCTATATTAAAAAATTACCTTATTTCACTGAATTTTCCTTATCACTTTTGGAACTTGTAATTGATAAGCCTTTTTCAGTCTGGTTTCTTAGAAGTGTGGGGTCCAAGAACAATTGGCTTTTCCAGCCCTGTGAGGCCCCACATTTTGGACTTTTTCTATTACCTATGTCCTTCCTCTCAAACCAGACAACTATTTTTGCTTTAATTTTTTTATTATGGAAATTTAAAAACATATATGGAAGTTGAGAGAACAGTAAAATAAACTCAATATACCCATCACTCAGCTCCACCAATGATCAGCTGATAGTCAATCTGGATTTATCTATATTCCCACTTATTCCCTCCATCTTACAGGTTACTTTGAAGCAAATCTCAGATTCCATTTCATTTAATTAAACCAGCCAATTCTTCCCCATGCTCCTTTTTAGAGTTATCTTAATGTTAATTATAATGTTGTTGTTAGGTGCCATCAAGTGAGTTCTGATTCACAGCGACCCTATGTACAACAGAATGAAACGCTGCCCAGTCCTGTGCCATCCTCACAATAGTTGTTATGTTTGAGCCCATTGTTGCAGCCACTGTATCAATCCATCTCCTTGAGGGTCTTCCTCTTTTTCACTGACCCTCTACTTTACCAAGTATTATGTCCTCCTCCAAGGACTGGTCCCTCCTGATAACATGTCCAAAGGAAGTAAGATGAAGTCTTGCCATCCTCGCTTCCAAGGAGCACTCTGGCTGTACTTCTTCCAAGACAGACTTGTTCGTTCTTCTGGCAGTCCATGGTATATTCAATATTCTTCACCAACACCATAATTCAAAGGCATCAATTCTTCTTTGGTCTTCCTTATTCACTGTCCAGCTTTCGCATGCATATGAGAGGACTGAACATATCATGGCTTGAGGTCAGGCGCACCCTAGTCCTCAAAGTGACATCTTTGCTTTTTAACACTTGAGGGAGGTCTTTTGCAGCAGATTTGCCCACTGCAATACAGTGTTTGATTTCTTGACTGCTGCTTCCATGGGTGTTAACTGTGGATCCAAGTAAAATGAAGCCCTTGACAACCCCAATCTTTTCTCCAATTATTATGATGTTGCTTATTGGTCCAGTTCTGAGGATTTTTTTGTTTTATGTTGAAGTGTAATCCATACTAAAGGCTGTAGTCTTTGATCTTCATCAGTAAGTGCTTCAAGTCCCAGGTACTTTATATATATCAAATCCTCATAATAATGCTGCAAATTAATGAGGTAACTGGGGCTCAGAGAATTTAAATGACATGATCAGATCTTAATTATTTTCTTCTATTTAATGTTATTCTTTCTTGTGGCAGATTCTTAGACAATGCTGAGAACTTCTAGATTCTTCAAGTCTCCTTGGGTAGAATATCATTTATAAACATTACTCCTTTATTTTTATAAAAATAAATGTAGCACTCTTCTATCAAATTCTTCACCCCAAAAGGAAAACAAAACAAAAACAAAAAAATCCAACCACATCCCTAGTCCTTAAAACCAAAACCAAACCTACTGCTGTCACGTCAATTCCGACTCATACTGATCCTATAGGACAGAGTAGAACTGCACCATAGCCTTCCAAGGCTGTAAATCTTCAGAAGCAGACTGCTACATCTTTCTCCCCTGGAGCAGCTGGTGGGTTCAAACCACCGACCTTTCGGTTAGCAGCCAAGCACTTAACCACTGCCCTACCAAGGATCCTTTCCTACTCCTTAGTCATAGACAAACAGTCAATAATTCTGATAATTGAGTGGCACAATGGTTAAGCGCTCAGCTGCTAACCAAAAAGTTGGCAGTTTGAATCTACCCAGTGGCTCCACAGGAGAAAGACCTGGTAATCTGCTCCCATGGGGTCTCTATGAGTGGAAATAGATTCAACAGCACCTAACAACAACAACTATAATATCAATGCTAAAATTAGCTGCTTAGAAATAAATGTAAGTGCCTACACACAAATAAATTTTTTTCTGGAAGGGTTCATTTAAAAAGTTTTGCTATTTTCTGATTATCTTTAAAGTGTTATAATCCAAAAAGTATTTTTCCAAAGGCATAATCCTTAGATTGTGGAGTAATCAGATTAAAAGTAGCATCTACATAATCAAATTATTTTCAAAAATTATCTTTCTTCCACAAAGAATTCCTTTATATTAAAATGTATGGTGGTGGTAGAGTAGGGGAGAAGTAATTATCCAGGCAGAAACAGAATATTTACTAGAAAATATGAAAGGCTAATTCAATTCTTAGCCATAATCATTTGAGTATTTGTTATTACAAAATGTTTCAAAGCCTCAATTTCTTTTTGGTCTTATTTATTTTAAAGATTAGATTTAGCCTCAGGATTCTTGAAACATTCTCATTTTCTATTTAAAAAAAAAACAAAAGGTATCTGGTTAGAATAACCAAGATTATGGGTAAAAGTGGCCAGAACTTAATTTTAGTTGGCCTCTTTAGGTAATAAAATTCACTCACTTGGAAAAGAGTAATGATTAGAAACAGGGCAGAGATAGAAAGGACTTCAAAATTTACAATGGGAAAATCATTATAAATCAATATAATAATATGTAAAAATGACAATCTTTTTTTCGTCGTTTTTTATGGTAGTTAAAATTCTAAGTACATTCAAGAATAAACCGTTATTAATATTATCTGTAAAACTTAGGTATTTTTAAAGCATCAATCTACTATGGGAAAAGTAATTTTAAAATAAAATATAATTAGGTTAATTCTAACATATTTAAAATTTAGAAAGAACTTTTTTTGTTTGGAAAATTTCATTAGTAGTGCCTAAAAAAAATATTCTTCTCAACAAGTAGAAATTTAGGAGGTCAAACCAAGCAGCACCAAGTTCCTGCCACTGATACAGTAACATTACTGACAGAATGTTGATATTCCTGGCATTAGGATATCTGTTCTGCAAGTGAATCCAATTATTACGTCTCTTATTTTTACATCATTTGATTTATAAAATTCTTTCAATGGTAACTCAAAGCATTTGATTCTGCTTATTATAACTGCCAACGACACTAAAAGTGGCAAGAGAGGAGGATATAAAACTGAGAACTTAACTGTCACTTACTGAGTCATCTGTGGCAGAAGCTGGCCAGCCCTCCCATAATTGATGGCGAACAGGGATACTTGTAAGGTCATACACATTCCTCTTTACCTAAAATAAGAAAGAGACAGCACAATTAAAATAAAGAGTTCCACATGATTTATGTGACAATTTATGTGACACACTGGTTTTTCCTGTTTTCTTCTAGAATCAAAACAAGAATTTGAATCTAAGAAAACACAAATCAGGAAAAAAAAATGTAAACCAAATTTAAAAGCAGATATTCCAAAAGGATAGATGGAATAGTAGTTCAAGAAACATTCCTCATTTCTCTCCCTACCCCCTATTATTTTTAGACTGCTGGGTAGCCTCAAGTTTCTTTTCATTCAAAAATCTTCAGGCACACAGTCCACCTAAGAGAGACTACAATGGCAAATTTTTATATTTAATTTTTAAATGGCTTAAAATGTGCAAAGATTCAAACAAAAACGTTATATCTAGTTCGTATGCAGTAGAGAAAAGGGTGGTAGTTGGGGGCGTGTGAAGAGGAAAAACCTTAAATTTTCTTTATATTTTGATATGTTTGAAATATATAAAAGCTTATTAATAAAGCAACACGTTATTTCTTTGAAATGACCCTAAATTAAAAACTATCACAATGGAATATTTACTAAAATCAGAGGCACCCATTAACATACTCTTTAAGCTCTTCCTGAAAAGAAAATACAGTAATGATGTTTTTCATTTTAAATGCTTTTAAAGATGCAAAATTATTTTTTCCAGCATGCATCATTATACCTTTCACTTTAAAAGGAGATAAGGTAAGTAATTTATAAGAATGAGGTTCTGGAAGGTTGAACTGTATGTAATCCAATACTTAAGAAGTATCTTGTCTTGCTTCAGCTTCTTTTCTAAATGGCTTGTATAAATTCTATTTCATTGTTTATTTACAAATAGAGTAAATTAAACCACACAAATAAATCATCCATCTTAACTCTTCAAGTTAGCTCTGGCATTATTACCCTGCTGTAACAAAGGAAGCTAGCATTGAAATGTTGCACATATTATGTTCTATAACAGAATTTCAGTATGAAAAATAAGCAGCATTCATTCATGTTTGAAAAATGCAGACTAAAGTATCATGTTGTCCAATTACAGCATTTTGAATCACATTACTCTTTATTATACATAAACACATCTAAGTTACCCTTCCAGTGAAATAGAGAGACACGTTCACCAGGGAAGGAAAAAAAAAAAAAAAAAAACATGGAACTCAATCTATTTTTATCTCTAATGTACACCTGTGGAAAAAGATTTAGTAAATGAGAACTGAGGAGCTTGGGGCATGGCTTGATCCTCACTCACTTCAAACAAACAGCTTTTCATCAGAGGTTTTAGCAATGGCCAGTCTACCATGCGGTATCTGATTTACAGTCAGTCACATCAAGTTTGGATAATTTTGATTAGTTATTATCAACCCAACAATTTAACCAAATGCAGCTGGATTTACCTTTTACCACATCCTCTAGTTGAGACTACTTCATCATGCTTAAATATTAGTGCTCTTAAGGAGAAAGGTGTTCTACAAACCTAAAACTTTAGATTAATAAAGGAGAGGCAAAGGACAGAAGAGGCAAGTATGAGGAGACTTTAGGCTTCAAGGCAAAAAAATTCCTTTCTTAGAGTTATTTTTGAATTATGTTATCTAGATACACCAAGCTTCATTTTTTGAAAAAGCAGGACAAATATTTACATAGTTGGAAAGGTAGTAACGTTACCCCCAGCACTAGAGAGTATACACAAATACTCTTGAGTATATAAACAAATAACTTTGGAGTGGAATTCTTTAAATTCCACCTTAATTCCAAAACACAACAATATGGCATTATGAAATAAACAGTATTTTTCTTCTTTTCATTAACTCATCTGTAACTACACTGAATTGAATAACATTCCTTTGCTATTCTAAGTCTGAAAAGCATGTTCTGGCTATGGTGTTATGCTGGTATAAAGCACAACGCCAGACTGATGTGCTGAACAAAAGTGATCAAAGTTAGAGTAATGTTAGCCATTGCACAAGTATTTGGCTTCATTGTTCTCCCTAGAATGACATCTGTTAAGCAACTTGTCATAGAATAAACTGGTTGATGCAGACAGAACTTGGCTGAGAGGGCACCATGTACAGCATATTAGGCTAATGTTTGATTGTTCCAATGCAAAGCCTAAATTCACTGAGTATTCTGAGATTAAGCCAAAAGAATCTTGTGTTAAATCACAATCACTAAACAACAATTTAAGCAAAAATCAAGTGGTTTTTCAAAATTAATCCCAGGCTTACCAGTGCTGTAAACACAGGCAGCTTTTACCATTATATGGAAGAAACACAAGTGATAAGAGTGAAAGTTCAAAATGAGTGGTGGTATTTTCTAATGGAGACATAAAAACTCCATTATCTTTACTGATGGTTATATTTACTTAAAACTTTAAGTCTCAATCCTAGATGAAGGAGAAAAAATCCAAAATCCATGCAAAGTAAAAGTAAACATTTAGTATTCTAGGAAGCCTGAATGAAAAAATACAGCTATCTATAAAATGATGTAGATGAATTTATAGTCATCATGAATCAGATGAAGCACTGAGTTTTCTCAGAGAGGGAGGCAGGAAGGAAGAAGGAAGAGGGGGAGAGAAAGAGAGAGAGACTGAGATTGATTTATTCTGATTGATTTGAGAGCACTTGATCTGAGAGGCACAGAACACACGCAGGCTGAGTTACTATGGCTGGCATGCCCAGCTGCCGTTCTTGTGCTGCTTCTGATGGAGTTTCATCCTTAGAGCCGTGTTAAATTTCAGTTAAGGACAAGTGGTACTTCACAGGGTAACATTTCCTAAGGGTCTTTTTGTCTTACACATTTTCTTTGATCAGCACTGCCTCAAGATCATGCTGAACCTTCATAATCTTTTCAATTCTTGTTTTGCTTTAAGCTCTAAATCTATGAGATTTCAGGCTGCTAAACTATGCAAATGTTCAGTTACTTCTGAAGGAATTTAACAAATGCTTTGATTACCTGCTGGACATGAAAATCATGTTATAAACTATACTGTATTTGGCTCAAACTATACTGTATTTGGCTCAAGAGTTCTAGACTGACAATAGATTTTCTAGCATTTGTTTTCTAGATTTTCTAAAAAATAATTTAAAATCTTCCCCACTGCTTTGTTTGTAAGAAAAAATTATAAATCAGATTAACTTGGAATAGTACAGAATTAAGATGATACTCATTTGTTTCCTTATTATTTGCTTTTCATTATTAATAAACAACTATTTACATACTATATGTAATATAAAAAGCTAAGCAATGATTTCCACTTCAAATTTCATATTTCCTCAATGTCTATGAAAATTTCAATGCTAAACACAGCACTAGGGAAGATTATTTTATTACGAGCTGCTCCGTATAAAAGTATTACACAAGATACTCATCTCCCACAATTTTTTCTTTTGACTCACATTTTCAGATTTTACTTTAAATTAAATTTTAGCAGAATTTTTTAGATAAGTAATTATTAGAAAAAGTTACTTTGCTATAGTTAAATTTTGAACCTCGGATTAGCTTCAAATGAATTGTTTTTAGCTATTCAAGTTGAAATATATAAAACAGACTAGATAACATTGCCAGCTATACAAATCTCTCCTTGTGATCAAATTATTGAAAATTTCAAGGAATTTTAAACTTCATTCAGGTATTATCCAAGTGAAAGTAGATTCTGATAATGAAAAAAAAAAGTCACAAAGTTTGAGGTGTTGTGGCATAGTGAGAGGCAGAGAACCACATTTATAGTCCTAATTCTGCCCAGCTGTATCACTGTGGGCAAGTTAGTGGAGCCTCTCTGAATCTTACTTTACTCAATCTTAGCAGAGAATTTCAAAACAAGATCACTTCCGAATTTCAAAGTTCTGAAATCCTATGATTTTATGAAAATATTGGAGCTAATCCTAGGTAAACGAAAGGCAGGGATAATTGTATATAAGACAAGAAAGTAATGAGGGAAAGTCGAAAACCAGGAAGGTTAGAAACTGGAATAAAAATAGTAAAGAGTTAATAAGTACAACAAAGACATCAAAAAGGAATAGTATCAATAATTTCAGGTTAGAAATGAAGATACAATAAGCATTTTAGGTAAACATTTTTCTTGGATGAAGAAGTCTTACTTTTTATCTCCATTACATTTATTTTTTTTTAAAAACTAATATTTTTTCCTCATGAGACCTCATTTTTTTAAAGAGCTGGTCATACTTGTTTCCCAAATAACTATTCCATCAATGAAATGATATCTGTGAGGCTATGGTTTTGCCAGAATGCTACCAAGTGTTACAATTTTTAAGTTCTATTAGTTTATTTCAACATTTAAAATTTTTTGAAATCTGGTCTATGATTCTTCACATATCAAAATTTTAGTATAGCAAAAAATAAAAAATATTTCATTGCCATGGTCTAGAACAGCTATCCATCTATTAGCACGCTAGTTTCTAGATTTTCTGAATATACCATGGCAAATTACAATTCTTACAAAAAGCACTAAAACTACAGACATCCACCTTCTCATTCTTTTATCAATCTTAGAACAAAAAGGCCTCTGGACATAGAACCTGAGCTTATCCAAAATTTAAATATATCAAACTTTGAACTTCAAGTCTTCACACTATCGAATGATGCTCTGGTTAACAGCTTGCTAAATAATACTGCATTGAACAAAGAAGTGTTTGTGTGTGTGTTTAAATCAAAATAAGGCATATAGTCCATGCTTAGTTCCTGTTTCCTAGCAATCATTGGTTCTCTGAAAGGCTTATAGTTAAGAAACCAATCACTTCTGATTCAGACTGGGTTTTGAACACAGACTTCATATCTAAGGTCTTTTCTTTTTCTTCTTTTTTAACATACTGTGCAGGCATTGCAATTGCACATAGATTTGTTTTACTAAGATGCAAGTTAACACCCCCCCACTCTAAAAATCCTCCCTGAACAAAAAAGCTTGAAACCGGATGGTGCAGGGGGAATGAGAAGGTGGCATCAGTAATCAAATGTTAATTAGCAAGCTTTTTTTTTTCCTTC